TAAATGAGAAGTATGAATAAGATATTATATTTGGAATCATTATTTTTCATGAATTAATTATAAAAGGTCAAATGAGACAGTGACTATATTTTATATATATGTGCACTTATACATATTTGGCAAATATGCAAGTGTTTTATTTTGCATAATAAATGCATTTTTTTTTTTTTGTCTTTTTTGAGATAGGGTCTCACCATGCAGTTTAGGCTCATCTTGAACTCACTTTGTAGCCCAAGCTGGCCTCGAACTCCCAATGATCCTCCTGCCTCAGCCTCCTGAGTGCTAGGATTACAGGTATGCGCCACCACACCTGGCAATAAATGCACTGTTGCAGAGTTTAATGTGTTCAATTCTGACAAATATAAATATTTAAATGTTTAAAGAGTAACCCACATTTTTAAAAGAAATTTCAATATGAATTATTTTTTAAAAACTTTCCAGAATTCTTTTTCTTTTCATAAAGTAAAGAAGTAATTGAAATTTTGCAACTATGCCTTTTTCGATGCGAACTGATTTTGAAGTAGTACAGAAAAACACATACGGCTGTGTGAACACGCGGGGTCATACATACAAAACACTGTCTGCAGACTTGCAGCTAAAACAAGATACACTGATCATTTTATTCGAGGGGATGATGAGAGACATTTTTAGTTTAACTTATACATGTTTTATTCAAGAGTTGTTTAGGGTAAAAGTCTCCAAACAGTACACACTGAATGTGTACTAGGAATATGTGGCTCAACTGTTATAGAACAAAAGATCTCTTAAAGTTATTCTCTTCTTCTTGGTTCACATTCTTTGTTAATATGAAACATTAAACAAGTCAAATAAACAAAATTGGAAAGATTTGGAATAAAAATGTGAACATGCAAAGTTCAAAAAAATTACATAAAATTACAGTAACAAGGAGAGAGACTGCAAAAAATGGGTAAGTCTAAATTTATGAAAACTTAATTATAGCTTGCCATTCTTTATGTTTATCATATTCTATTTTTCTCGAATACAATAATAATTTTCGTTAGAAGTAAGTAATGTGGTAATTAAGGATTTTCCTCAACCTAGGCAAACAAGAGGACTTTTTCAAGGGATAGAAAATCACAGCTTGGAAGTCATTTAAACTTTTAGATCTATAAGAAGGAATTTTAAATGTGCCAATTAAGTACTTGTTAACATTTTGTGGAGGAATTCCTTTTGTGAGAGGTGAATCACATATCTAAAAAAGGTAATAAGCCCTTATCTGAAATTTGTATTGAAAGCTTTGCTCTTTTTTTTTCTTTAAGAGTTGGTTTAAGGGAAAACAAAAATCATCCTTGGGCAGCATTACTGAAAAATTAAACCTGTAAATTGAAAGAACTCAGTCCCTTACAATAATGAAAATTTAATGATGTGAGGAAACAGCCGAAAGTGTGAGAAGAAAATTGCCAGTAAAGAGTTTATACGGTTTAACACCTTATTGTGTATATATTGTTTTTAATTTAATAGTTTCCTTAGAGTGACGAAGTGCCTACATTTCTAAGCATTCTTTTTTAAGTTCTTTTTTTCTCCCCTTATACTTAGCAAACTAGTCTTGAAGGTACAAAATCCTGATCTCTCCTGTGAGTGTGCAGACAGGAAGCTTATTCATCCCTATCTCAGATTGCCTAAAAAGAACGTAACAATTAATAGCGTACTGTGTTTTGACTATTATGTCCTATGCGTGCCTCATACCAATACTAAGGTAACCAAATAGCTCACGGGCTTGTAAGGTTTTCAGGTAACTCACACTCTTTCACCACACAGCATCAATGAACTTCTCTCTGTTCATTTACTGTGTTTTATTTTCTTAGAGTTTTCAATTCAAGAATCAGCTCATGCTTGAGTTGACCCGTATAGTTACTATTTTCTCCAAATAAAGGAGTTAGGAGATCATATAAGGATAAAGCCTATCAAAACTACGTTCTACATTTTGTAGAATACAGGCCTTTCAAAGGAGTGGCAAGTGGGATTTAGGAATACACCGAGTCACTCTCTCTACATAAACTCGAAGGTGTATGCTCTTCACTTGCTATTATTACAAATTTTTAAAAATTTCTTTGACTGAATGACATATTCTGATAGAAAACCAAATAAAAAACTTTCTAAACAAGTGTATAAGTGAACAATAACCTATCATTTTTCCAGAAGTATGATTGGCAAAGGGAAGACCTCAGAAAATTTGTAGAATTTTGTAAAAAATGCCTCAGTGTGAGTATAGGCTGAATGTGTAAAACTCCATTTTGATTTCCTGCAATTTACTTTCCACTGGTTTAGAAGTTTAAAATTTCCATTATAATTTCACACTTACTTTGGCACAATTTCCAGGAAGAAGAAAAATATGGCATAATGTGTATGTTTTATCTTCCCCCACTTATTACATAATACATCCTATTTTTGATTAACTTTAATTCTAAATTTTAAAATGTGATTTCAGAATTAATACTATTTCACAGGGATCACTCCTAAGCACATGCAATTTTATTAAGTTTCCAATAAGGATGACTATATAATTCCACACTCCAAATTATTTATTTTCAATTTGGGGCACAGAAGAGACAACACAGGTAATCGAACAATATAATATCAACATATTTTTGATTCTTTTAAGAACTGTGCTTTGACACAATTTCCTACACAATTGAGTTATAGCAGTAGAGTTTACATAAAAGTTTATATTTTAAGACTATTTTAAGGGCTATTTGGCTTTGCCAAAAAAAAAGCTAATGTAGAAATTACTATAGAATGAACAACACCTTGACAAAACTGAAGACTTAGATTAAGAGTATAGTAATGTCAGATACCAAGACTTAACATTACAGCTCATTAATCCATTATAATTCATTAGACAAATGTCCCAAGGAGAGGGTAGAGTGTACAATGAGTGTTTTTCTGGAAATGAATTCCAAAAAATTAGTAGAGTCTGAAAAGACTTGAGAATTGGAAGCTCCAGCTGGATTTAAAAGGATGGAGGAAGGGATTTTACTCACTGTTAAATATTTGAAACACCACTTCAAAAAATAAAGCGACGAATGTCTCATCAGTTCTCAGTGCATCGGGCGGACTCGACTCTCCCTGCCGTATTTTTTTTCCTTCCTAAAGATGTGCTTTAAAAACACGCACACAGGACATTTTACACTGACTTAGGTAGGTTGTAGAAAACATGGTTCAGAGCAGGATTTCAAATTGTTCCACCAAATACAATAACATTTGCAGCCATGGCACCGGTCCATAATAATTTAAAAAGATTACATTTTACTTATCATTGCAAGCCATTATCTGATCATATTTGACCTACATATTAATATTTTCATTACCATTCAAGCCCCCCTGCCCCCCTTTTATGCTCTGTACCAACTGCCAGCCCTCTTCGCTGAGATATTATTTATTTATTCTGGAAATATCTGGAATTCTTTCACCCTATCTTTTCCTCCTGGGACTCCCTCCCTTGCTCCAAAGTATTGATATTAATGTCAGGGGGAGAGGGGCACATCCAAGGAAACCCGAAAGACACGAAAAGAGGTCCCTGTTAATGGCATACTATGGGAGAAATAGAAAAACAAAGGGGAAAAAGAGAAAATGATAATTGTTTTCTCTAAGGCTATTACCTAATGCGAAAGCAAATAGTCAGTCTGGAAATCAGCTAACAGAAGGGGATTAGAGGAGAGATCTGAGAGTGGCTTGATTCCTAGCAGAGCTGTCTCCCCAGCCAGTGATGAGACACAGGCAGGGCAGCTCGGAGCGCTCCAGATGGCCGGGGAAAGTGGTCGTCTTGGGTTACTGCAGGGCACTGGGCCGCGGGAGCGCAGGCGGCCCGGGAAGGCATCGTCAGGGAGCCAGCCCCGGGTCCAGTCTGCGGGGAGAGGGCGAGGCCGGGGGGAGGCCGCCCGCCCGAGCGCCCCGGCGAGCCGGGCCTGCCTATTGTTAACATATACTTGACCTCCGTGACCCCCGCACCACACAGATGTCTCCCACCTCCGCCGCCCCCCGCCCCGCCGCGCGCCCTCCCCCTGCACCTGGTAGCGGGCGCGCGCGGAGCCAGCCTGGCGCGGGCGCTCTCTGCGCACAGCGCGCGGCGCTCCTGCTCCCCGGCGGACGCCCGGCCGCCCTGCAGATAAATGCGTCGCCTTCCTCGAGAGTGAGCGAGGGCGGGCGAGGCAGACGCAGACGCCGCCTGTGACAGTGGCAATTCCCTGCGCCCCACATCACATTTGTCTGCTACCGCAGCAACAACAGAAAAGCGGAGGGCGGGAGGGAAGGAGGGAGCACAGGAGGCGGGAGGAGGGGAGCGCGGCTCCGCCGGGCTCGGGCTCTGCGCGCAGGCTGCGTGCGGCTGGCGTCCCCGACCCCGGGCTTTTTGCACCGCGGCTCGCAGTGCGCAGCGCCCGGACAGCCGCAG